TTGCAAGGCCGGCGGGACCCACGCTGCCCCCTCGCGGGGACGGGGGACTGGGCGCTGGGGGTCTCCCACTTATTCTACACCTCTCATGTCTCTTCACCGTGCCAGACTAGAGTCAAGCTCAACAGGGTCTTCTTTCCCCGCTGATTCTGCCAAGCCCGTTCCCTAGGCCCGTTCCCTTGGCTGTGGTTTCGCTGGATAGTAGGTAGGGACAGTGGGAATCTCATTCATCCATTCATGCGCGTGACTAATTAGATGACGAGGCATTTGGCATTTGGCTACCTTAAGAGAGTCATAGTTACTCCCGCAGTTTACCCACTCTTCATTGAATTTCTTCACTTTGACATTCAGGGCACTGGGCAGAAATCACATTGCATCAACAACCGCCGCGGACCTTCGCGACCAGTTAATCTTTTGAGGAAGATTTTGATTCATAAAAGAGGAAATAAGATCTGAGATTTAAGTAATTTGCCCAAGAACACAGTAGCTATTGAGCCATAGAGCCTGATTTGAACTAATACCTCTTTTCGAACCAGCCCTCTTCTCAGTTCTACTCAGGCTTATTCAGCCCTCTCTGTCTCCCTCCTCTCCATCTGCACACCTTTCTCTCTACAGTACCCTCTTGACCTCACCCTGGCTCCACGCCTGCACCTTCAGGAGGCTTTCCTAGAGTAGTAAATGGCCTTGGACAAGATCCAGCATTCACTCTCCTCCCCGTCCTCCTCGTCCAGATATCGATAATCTTGCTTCCTTCCTTAAATTATAGACTCAGGAGTTAATCTTAGCCGAGATTCATAGAAAGGCGACCATCAGTACTGATGGTTATTAGTTTTGTTGATTGGGGGAACCGTGCTTTTGAAGGGCTCTCCTCACCATGGGCTTATAGAGTCAGTGGCTGAATAGGCCACAAAGGAAAAACCTTCCAATTTTCACCTACTCCCCGCTTCCCCCCAGCTCTCCGCATTACCTGTGGGTCAGCTCCCTCCCCTCCCGCTTGCTCAGGGGTAGCTCTCCAGCAACCTCCCTCCCTCCGTTCAGTTTCCCGTTATCAGCCACTGCTGCACATACACGATGCGAGTTTTTCATCCGAGAAAGTCAACTCTCCAGCTGCCCTTTCTCTGCTCACCTTTGTGGAAAACTTGTCGAAATGGCTAAGCTCACGGTCCAAAGTTTGCCACCTCCCATTTTCTGTAGAACCAACTTCAGCCAGGCTTTTCACTGAAATGTCTTGTGTCTAAGTTGCCCGCGACTTCACCTCTGTCCAATCCCACGGTCAGTCCGAAGCATTTGTCACTGCTGTCCACTCCCTCCTCAAACCTTCCCGCCCCTCAACTTCCTGACACCCCCTCCAGGCTTTCCTCCTCACACACGGCCTGTTCTGTCTCCTTCTTGCTGCTCCATCTCTGCCCCAGGCGTTACACCTTGGGGCCCAGTCCTCAGTCCCGTCTTTCTAGACCTGCCCGTGGCCTTCAGAGACCACATACGGCCGACAGTTCCAGATCTGTCCCGGCCCAGACTATGCCCGATGTCCGCATCCAGAAGGCTCCCCAGTTACATTCGTCAGGTCTCCCCCTCAGCGTCTGCTAACACACCCGCCACTTTGCTTGTCACAAACCATTCGGCGCCCCCGAAGTTCCTGATTGTACAGAAACACTAGGGACACGGCTTTGTCAGTTACACGCTCGGGTCATTGACGTTTGTGGCAGTGAATTATAATCTGACAGAAACAGTGGTGGACGGCACTGAGCAGCCAGTGAGCGTGGAGCTCACATTTGCAGAAGTCTTTTTACTTCCTCTGTTTTCTGTCAACTGACACCGTGGCCTTAGCCGAGAGTGAGCCTGTCGTGTCTGAATGAAAGGTTGATTTCAGAAAACGACTTCTTTTATCGGTGACCTCAGCCATTTCGGTGCTGAGGAGGAATGACAGCTTTCATTGTCACCTTCACTTTCATTCTTCATATGTTTTCTTCTTTCACACGAAACTGTTACTTACATTTTTGCTTTTCATGACATCTGATGCTCAGTTTCCGCCCTTTACTCTTTAACTGTGGATTGAACTGCTACATGGGAAGGTCTGGAAAGGCACAGTGGCCGATGTGAATATCCCTGCTTCGGTCTAACGGCTGATTTTGTGTGTCAAGTTAACTGGGTCGCAGGATACTCAGAAGATTGTCAAACATTCTGGGTTATACCGCATCTCATTTTGATGATTCTGTCTTTGTAATCAGTGACATATTTCTTAAAATGATTAAGACACCCACCTGATGAAAAAGCGTTCTTCAAATAAAATCAAGACTTAACAAGAGTGTCTTGACTTCCTCGCCCCTGCCCCCACTCCCACTGAAGCCTCCTGGGCTTCTCTCAGCTCTTCACAGACGTCCTGTTCCCTCCCCTCCGGCCTCTACACACGTCCTCCCACGGCCTTCATCCCCCTCCAGCTTCCCTCGATTCCTGTGTGTCAGACCTCAGCTTAATCGTCACTGCGTGAGACTTTGCCTGGCTTCTTCCAAGTGCAAATCTCTGCAGTGTTCTCCTAGACCACTCTGCTGTTTTACACTTCATTCCTCTCTTGCTCACAGCAAGCAGGTTCTGTGAGGGCAAAGGCTTTGCCTGTTTTAAAGTGCCCTTTCCACCCCGCCCCCTTGCAGCCTGTGATCAGTGTTCAGTGTTGTTTGCTGGATATTGGAGTTAACTTGCATTTGCAATTATGTTTTTCTTTCTTGGGACTTTTTAAATATAGGCCTGCCGAGGGGCCCAGACAGCTGCCTCCACAGCTCCGAGAATCAAGAAATTTGCCATCTACCGATGGGACCCTGACAAGACTGGAGATAAACCTCGCATGCAAACTTACGAAGTTGATTTGAATAAGTGAGTATCTCTGGAAGGCCAAGTACGTGGTAAGCAAAGGTGAGCTCTTGGTCTGACACAGGGGCCTGCTTTTCACATCCGTGGAAGGGTTAAAAACAGGTCAGCCAGAGAGGATAAAGTGTATCGCCTCTTTAAACAAATGAATGTGGTACCTACCTGACTCAAAGATAATGCTGAGAAGAATCACTTTTGCAAACTTATTTTCCTTTCTTCAAATCAAAGTCCAACAGATTTCAAGGAAGCCTGGTAAGTGTTGGTTTGATGCATAGTATTTCAAGCCATTAGTACATTACAGCTTGCCAAGACTGATTGTGTTCAAGTTTATTTTCTCTATCTGAACCCATGTATTCTCTCATAATGAGAAGCAGCATGAACTCCGCTGGAGAGGTGACGGGAAAGACAGGACGGAGTGTCCTTGGGTAAATGAACCTCTTAAACGTTTTCACCTGAGGACATGCCCCAGTTGGGGTGGAGAGGTTACAAGCCCAGGAAATGCCAAGGAATAAATAGCATAGCCAGAGCCAAAGGATTTGTGTCTTTGAGCAGCCCAAGCTAGTAATGTCCAGAGGGTGGAGTTCACGCAGACCACGCCAGACACAGCCAGGTGGCAAGGCAGGAAACAGGTGTTAAATAGCAGTGTGCTAACTGGGTCGGCACTGGGACTGGGTCTGGAGTCTCTTGAAGCAGTTTGCCCTGACAAGGGCTGAAATACTTTAAAGTAAACTGAAAGAAATCCCAGTTTCTCTGCCTGGTGAGAATAGTAACTAAACTAAGTGGAGGTGGCAGGCTGTTCTCTTCTTTCCACTTTCCTGTTACTAACTCACCTGCCGCGATCCCACAAGGTGTTGCTTTATCACGGGACTCTGCGGCAGGGACGCAGTGGTGTGCCCGCCGCCAGGTTAGCGTCCAGGCCATGACTCAGACCGGCCTCGCTGCAGGCCCGCAGGCCAGGCCCCACGTGCCGGGGACACGTGGCTTAGGGCCCTGTGAGTGACGTGCGTTCTTTTGTTCTGTGTAGCATGTTTTCTATTGTGGTTATGTATTGTCTACGTCCTAAGTATTAAAATTTGAAATACATTACTTAGAGAAGCTTTGCAGAGAGCTTTCAAATTTAAAAAAAAACAAAACTGCCAGTGTATGGACGCGGTTTCCTGACCTAGCTACGCCGTCGTTTCTTTAGCCTCCATCCCCAGAAGGGTGCGCAGCGTGGCCGGCACAGCGGAATTCGCCGCACTTAAAGCATATAAGAAGGCGCAGAAGTAAAACTGGAAAAAATGTGCCCTAAAAAGGCCAAGCAGATGAGAAGCGCAGCTGTTATAAAAAGATGTCTCAGTTATTGCGACGATGTGTAGGGAGGCTGCACGTGACAGTGCCCGTGGGGTTTGTTTTCTGGTTTTTGTCAGGTGCGGCCCTATGGTGCTGGATGCTTTAATCAAGATCAAGAATGAGATGGATTCCACCTTGACCTTCCGGAGATCATGCAGGGAAGGTAGCGTTCCCTTCCTTGGGAGGCGCCACGCATTTGCTCTGGCTCCAGAAGAGGCTTGGGCGTCCCCAGCTCACACCTGGGGACAGCTGCAGCACTCTGCCCAGTCACCCAGATGGTCTTTTCGTGGGTAAACGTCTCAGGAACTTGAGGGGTGACTCAGGCTCCGCGCGCTCAGTCTGCCTCCCTCGCGGGTTCTCTGCCTCGCAGGTACTGCAGCTGGCAGTCCCGTGACTTGCCCCTCGGGGACTGGCTGGCGCCTGCGACTCGCCGCCTTCCGCCTGCCGCGCTCACTTACTTGCGGGGAGTTTGCTGGCAGTGCACACCTGCCCAGCCAGGGACGGGCCGGCCCCCAGCGCCCAGCACCGCGAGTCACGGGGCAGGGCTCAGTAGGAGTCCCGGAGAGGGGGACCGCCCTTCCCCAGTCTGGGGCACCCACCCCAGGCCTGGCTCCACGCGTGGCCTGCTGGTGCCACATGCGCGGATTCAGGCTATAAACAGGTCACCATTTGTGTTTTGAGTATTAGAAAAATAGAATCACTCTGACAGTAGACAGTGAGACAAATGGCTTTTTAATGTGGATTTAAGTAAAAATAACTTAAGAAAATGAACCACTTGAGAGGCACTTGGATGTGGGGGGAGTCCCACGGGGCTGCCCCGACCGGGACAGGCTGGGGACAGGCTCTGCGCTGTGAGTGCACATCGGTGCTGCTGCTTGCTGCAGGTGTGCAGATGAAGAGACTGAGGCCCCGGGAGCTCAGAAGGACGTAGATAGTGAAAGCAACCCTCCACTGCAAAAATTGCCTTTGTTTTTAGCCTTTGCTCTGCTATGCCTTGCAGGCTTTTAAAGCCCTACTTCTAAGGCATCTGTTGGCTCAGCTAGCCTGACAGGATTGGATTTAATGGAGCAGACATGATAGTTTGGCTGAGTCCTGCTGTCCAGGGAACAGTCTGCTGTAATTAAAACCCATCCATCTCCCTGTAAGTCAGAAGAAAGGATGCTTTGCAGAAATTATTCCTCATAAGGCCCTCGCAGAGCCAAATACATGAGGTATGGCCCATCTGGACTCTAAAAAAGAAAATGAGAAGGAACCACACTTTGCCGTTCTGCTGAGTCCTTTATTGGATTATGAAGGGAGCCTTTTTAAGAGAAGACTCAGTTACCTTGTCACTATATACCATTTCTTATAAAAGCATGTCGCTCTGCTCTGGTTGGATGCCTGGTAAACGTAAATATACTAATAATCATAATTCCTTTCTTGGGGGACTCAAGGGGTAGCTGCTGAAGATCTTTGTGTTGTCCTAGCTCTTGGTTAATATTTACAAGTCTTAAAAAAGTGATAGACCAGGACAGGTTTCCAGTGTCACATTTCTCTAGACTGATGATTACCAAAAGCAGCTTCGGAGACAGGAATCTGGGGTTTGATTAGTATAGTCATTTTCAGACTCTGCAACCCCCTCGCACATCTGCAGACACCAACATCGGTCCAGGATGAGAAAATGCTCGTTTGGATCCTTGACTGGCACTTTATTTTTGATTGACTTGGCTTCCCATTAGTTCATTCTTCTAGAAGTCAGTGCTCAGATAGCTTACGGGTTTCGTGTTCCAGAGCAGCCTCTGTGCTGCTGGTTCTGTGGCACTCGCTGGATCAGCTGTGTCTGGGCCTCAACTTGAGGCGGCCCAGACAGTGTGGGTTTGCGTTGGGGTTAGAGTTTGCATTAAGTAACAATGTCTTCTGAAAAAACAGAGGTTGACTTTTCTCCCAAAATAGCTGAGGGGGGACACTGGGACAGGGAAGCCCAGTGTGCCCACAGTGCCAGGCTGCTTCTGTTCTCCAGTGCCATCCCTGCCACGCGGCTTCCAGCCTCCAGGTTGTGTCGTGCTCGCAGAGTGGATTTTAGGGGGGCAGCCACCGGGCCTACTCTGCTGGGGGGGAGGGGGCAGGGCCTCTTGCCCAGGGTCTCGGTGCCAGCGCTGCTCCTGCCGGGAGAGGTGACAGTCCAGGGCAGAGCCCGAGGCAGCACTGACTCCTGCGTCTGGGAGGACGATCGTGACTGTGGTTCCCGCCCAGGTATCTGCGGCTCCTGCGCAATGAACATCAACGGAGGCAACACTCTGGCTTGTACCCGAAGGATTGACACCAACCTCAACAAAGTCTCCAAAATCTACCCTCTTCCTCATATGTATGTGATAAAGGATCTCGTTCCCGTGAGTTTCTGCCTCTTTGCCCTGATCTTCCTTGCAGAGAGTAGGGTGTGCACTTGTGCTGTTCTCCAGGGCGGCTTTCTTGTCTGAGTTCAAGAATGTGAATGGAGGAGATAACATGCCCAGAAAGCCAACTACACGCGCATTTGTTGAGGACAGTTTGGGAGTAACAGGAGTCCAGCATTGGAACAGCCCCACAAAGGGAGAGCCGAGGAGGGCTACAGAGTGGAGAATGCCAGCTGGGAGAGCCTCGGTTGTGGTAGTCTCTGCCACCTCCACAGCCGGGGTGTTTGCCAGGGGTTGGGGAGAAAGGACCATGGGGTTGAAAAGTTTCTCGGGCGTGAGGAGCGATTCCCTAACCAGACTCAGCACTGAGCTCTTCTCCTCTGTAACCACTCCACATGCCCATGCAGTGCCCGTGAGTGACCTCTGTCTGTGCAAGGATAGGGGAGGAGGCCATGTCCGAGAAGTGGGGCAGGTGAGCCCTCTCGGGGTGACAATGGAGCCTGACCCTTCTCTCCCCCCAACCTCAGGACTTAAACAACTTCTATGCTCAGTACAAGTCCATTGAGCCTTACTTGAAGAAGAAGGACGAGTCCCAGGAGGGCAAGCAGCAGTACCTGCAGTCCATAGAGGATCGCGAGAAGCTGGTCAGTGGTCCCGGGCCGCATCTTTTTTTTTTTTTTTTTTTTTTTTTTTTTTTTTTTTTTTTTTTTAAGATTTATTTATTTGTGCATACAGAACTGGGGTGCAGGCCAGAGGTGCAGGGGCGGTGAGAGGCTTCACCAGAGACAGAATCGGGAGCAGAACGGGCAGATCAGTGAAGCACACTGCTGAGGGGAGCAGCGGGGAGACAGGAGAGGTCTGCCGCGCCACGTGGCCACCTTCAGGTGGGGATGGAACTTGAGCTGAAGCGGCTGTGAGAGCTTCAAAGTGCTGCGCTTTAACCCGTTGTGACACCAGGGAGGGCCCCCAGGTGGTGTCTTGATTTGAGGGATTTCCTCGCAGAGCTGCTTGCTAGGAAGTGTGACTGGAGGCGGCAAGAGGCCGAGGGAGGCGCTTGCGACAGTGCAGGCCACACAGTGTGTCCTGGAAGAAGCCCGGCCAGGGTCGGGCACCCGCCTCTGAGGGCCAGGTGGGTAGTGTCAACCACAAAGAGCAGGGACCAGAGAACTGGAGCACCCTGCAAGGTGACCATGTGGCCGGCTGTTGGTCTCTCGTGTGTCACCTACTGACAGGGACGTGTGAGAAAGGCTTTGCTGGACCATTTGCTGTAGTGCGATCGCGCAGACCTAGCAGGGGCTGCCCGCGCACCAAGCGGTTAGGTCCGCTGCGGCAGCGTCTTCATCGTTCAGAGGGGACAGAAAATCAGAGCTGCCTGTGAACACAGGCTGCCGTGCGTCGTCCTGCTGCCCCACCCCACTTCACACTGGGAGTCAGTAGTTGTGCCAGAGCGGGACAGAGCCCTTGTTCTCCGACGCCGGGGGCCTCTGATGGCCGGGAGCCGTGCCCAGCCCGTTGGCCCGGCATGGCTCTCCGCACGCCACTGTGAGCCCTCTAAAGGGAAGGGTTAGTGTACGTTCCAGGCTCCTGCATCTTACTCCCGAAGGCCTCTCTGACGCGCACTCTCTGCACGTGTGGTGTCCTGTGGAGAGGAGAATGGGGAGGCCAGCTAGGAAGGGGTCCCCCGCCCTCCTCGGAGCGGCTTGTGACTAGCGACGTCTAATGATGGACCTTGGGCCCCAGCTGTATTTCCTAGATAGCCGGAGTTTACTTGCTTCACTCCCACACACACTTGTCTAGCTTTCTTCACTTCCTCAGACTGGCAGTTTGCTGGACGGACGCGCTGTGATGTGAAAGCCGTCATATTCACGGGAGAGCGTCGGAAAGTAGAGACTAATCATCGATTCTTCTGCCTCCCAAAGACAATCTCTTGGCGACAGCCTTTGGTTTTCTTTTATCTGTTACATTTCCACGTGGCTGGACGCAGGTGCCCTTGCGTCCGGCTTCCTCCCTCTGTCGTGCAGCTGTTCTTGTCAGGAGCTGCTCACCAGCTTCAGCTCCTGCTTTCTTTCCTCCACTCTGGCGGGGCACCGGCGTCACTGCCCTCTGCTGGTGAGCCCCGAGGTCACTGCCAGTTCCTTTACCCTGCTAGTTCTAGCTGAAAAGTCCTAGTTAACTTTTTGCTACAGATTGTTTTGTCAGCAGACTGAAAGTATGACTGTCATTAGGCTCTTCCACCCCCCTTTTTTTTCACTAAGGCTCTTTTTCCTGTGACTTTAAGCTTCCTAGACCCACGAGGCCAGTTTACTGCCGCCCCAGCAGGACAGATTTTTCTCAAGAACTGCTGGTTACAGTCATGAGATAAACTCGGTGCCATTTGGCGTCAGCTATCACTTCAGAGGTCAGCGTCGCTTCTTTGCAGCTTTTTTTAAAACATTTATTTATGCATACAGGACTGGGGAACAGGCCAGAGGTGCAGGACGTTGAGAGGATTCACCAGAGACGGAGTGGGGAGCAGATCGAGGAAGTACACTGCTGAGGGGAGCAGCGGGCGGGTCAGGAGAGGTCTGCTGTGC